TTGTGAGTTCTGTTTCGGTAGCACATTACCTTCAGAGCTGGACTGGGTGGGGACGGGCCCACCATTGCCTGAGCCCTAAGCAGCACATGCTCTGGAAATGTGCCAGGGGCCACCAGGGCCTCCCACCCCAGATGAAACCTGGCAGCAGCAGATAATTCACAAGGCAGATGACTGCAATTGTCTTGAGGGCTGGCCCTGCACTTTGGTGAAACGTGAGAGCCACCAGACCAAGACCACAGACTCATGCTGGGACTTGGCAGAGCCCCGGCTTGTCCCGGATATGTGCGCTGAGCTCAACTAGAAAGGATTTTGTAAACAATTCCTTTGTCTGGATCAGTAATAATCCAATTTTCAGGTCTTGGAGCCAGACACTCCCAGAGGTGCCCACCCCCCCTTATAGTCCTGGGCTCTAGCTCTCTATGTCAGGTCCATTGGCATCACTTAGGGATTCTACGGACATCGGCACTTCCATACTTTCAAGGCTGTTCTTCCCCTCCCCCAGTGACTAATTCCACTCTCAGCCCAGCCCCTTGTGACCACAGTTGGGCAGAGCCACAGGCAGACTGTGTGCCAGCAGGAAGGCAGGCTCCACCCTGAGGTACCTGTGAGCTGTGGATTGAGCCCCTACAAGTAAGGACTTAAGCCTGCAGGACCAACCTTTGTTAGGGTCTCTGGGATAAGATTCCCTGGGGTTTCCTGGCTCAGCCATCAAGGTGTTTCATTCCCTGGATAGGCAGGAAGTTCCTCTTTTTATCCAACTTAAATGCCTCCCACTATAAGTCAAGTGCATTTCCTCTTGCTGGCCTCAGTGAGATTCCACGCCCTTGCTTTCCTGCCCCCCATGTCTCAGAGTCCTTCATCCGGGTCCAGCATGATTCAGTGCACCGGGCAGATGAATTGGATCCTTTAGTAAATCCCTTCCTGATTTGTATGGCCAGTGAATTGTATTTTCCTGTATAAGATTTTCCTAAATCTTCCTATGGTACCTGTCTTACTGGGCTCTGCCTACCCAACTATATTAAAAATAAGCATGTTTGTTTTCAGCTCGACAAGTTACAAAGTGCTTTCTCTCTCCCATTCTCACGTAGCCCACCGAGAGGCAGGCTAAGGCAGATGGCGCTCACATGATACAGATGAGCACCCCAGCGGCTGAGGGGCTTACCCGAGGCCCACAGCCGGAAGGTCAGGGCCAGGGTCCCACTCAGGCCTTCTGACTCCAAGTCCAGTGCTCCCTTTCTCTGCACCACATCTGCGTCCCTGAGCATACTGGCTGCCTGGACCCGGAAAGCCCAGAGGACACTGGGGGCTGGGGGCGAGGGGCGAGGAGGAACTTGCCCAGAATTAAACCGCTGACGGGGATGCTGCCCAGAGTGGCTGGCGGACACATAGCCCTGCTCCCCACAGCGAGCCCCCAAACTGCCTGGTGGCCACTCAATGTTCACGGTTTCTGCAGCAGAAATGCCAAAGTGTTTGCAAGACGTGTCCTCTCCTGGGACGGGAGTCATGATGTCCCGATTCATAAATCTCAGCACTGTTTATTCAGCAACACATACCAAGAGTCCCTGTCTCCAGCGCATGCGCGCACGCGCGCACACACACACACACACACACACACACACACACACACACCCTAGAGCTGAGCAGTAGACAAGGTACGCTTGCCCGCTGAAAGTGATGTCGCATCCCCTCTTCCTGCCCAATCCTGGCCTGGGGGACTGTTTCCAGCCCCTCCAAAGGAGGGAAAGGCACCCTCCACCAAGACACTTCACTGAGCATTGCCTGAAGGCTGACTGCCCCAGCATGCACGCTCAGGTCGGGACTCAGCCGCTGCTTTCTCGGCCCGCCTGCATCTCCCTCTGCTCAGATCACACAGCGCAGAGGGAGAGAGAGGGTCCTCAGATGGCTCCCCGTCCTGTCTAACCAGCCGGTGTTCAGTACAAACTTCCCAAAAGAAGAGGACGATTTTGTCCCTGATGCCTTACCCCCCACCAGACAGAAGGAACAGCTGCTGACAAGTTTGCATGCAAAGTGGCGCTCCCTACTCTTTGCCGAGCAGTCCGAGCCTTTTGCTTGCTGATGATGCATGGGTATCTGGTTGGCCTGTCCGGGGACTTGGGCCTGCTTTCTGGAGCCTGGGTCTTCCGCCTGCAGAGAGGCGAGGAGGGCGTTGTTGGCTGCAGGGCGCAGAGGCGGGCCTCCTCCGTGCCCCCAGCCCGGAGCCCCCAGCCCGGAACCAGGTGCTTGCTGCCTGCCAACTGCGCCCTCTGGCGGGGACCCGCGGCCCGATCTTGCGCCCCTGGCTGGGGGACAGCCGCAAGGTGACTTTGAGCAGGGATCAGGCACTGTGAGGAGTGAGTCTATAACAATACAGGACTTGGGGTTTCAGAGCTGTATTCTAATCGGGTGCCTTCACAGGATCATTTGCTGACAAGTGACTGAGCAGGGAGGGGCACCGTAGGCTGAGAGGGGCTGCTTACTGTGAAATCCCTTCAGGCCTCCTGGGCACACAGGACCGGGAGAGGGAGTTGGGATGGGCGGGTACCACCGGCCCTCTTAGCTCCTAAGCACACGGAGGGGGCTGATTGTGGACAGCATCCTTCTATGGACGTGCTACATCCTCTCTCCAAGGCTGCTTCTGCTAGCTGGATCAGTCTCTGGGTGGCTTTCCCTGCTGGAAGGAGCCAAGACCAAGACCTCCCTTCTCCCCAGCCCCTAGGTAGGTGGGCCTGCCCACAGTCTTCCTGCATTTTCATCTGGCCAGAGGAGCAAGAAGCCAAAAAAATCGTTCCATCTTCCACTGTGGGCCCCTTCCCCTAGCCTCTCTTTACCCTGAAACAGAACCAGCTAGTTACTTTGTATAGCAGGGGTCGGCTGCCTGGGTAAACCAGGAGTCCACTGTCTGAGCTCACTCCATTTTCCCTAGCCCAGAGCAAAAAAAGAAAAAGTGTTAGACCAAGATAATACCGCCTTTGAATATCTCAGCTTGATATTTGCCTCCATGAGTGAAAAAGGCCAAATGTTATCTGCAAGTTTAATCTTCTGTATTCAAAATTCCTGCCCCCCTTGTCGGCCAGTGCATTCTCAAATCAGCCGTTCACTTGCTCTAAGCCTCTGTGATTTTTTCCTCTTGAACCTGTTTTTTCCATCTGCCAGTTGACTCATTTCTCAGCTCCAGCTTCCAAGGGGCCTCACCTTCGAGCCTCCTGCCCCGAGGGCACCTGGAGGTATCAGTTTCCCTTTTCTCTGCTCAGTCACGGGCCAGATGCCACTTGGTTTGATCTCCTTTCTATCTCCGTGTCCCCATCTCAGTCTCCTGCCAGCCTGGCTTGGGTGCGTGGTCAGTCTCTTTCCATCCCAGGCACACACAGGTAAAAATCCATCCAAGTCTGGCTCTTCAAGCCCAGGTCCCTCGGGCCAGGCCGCGGCCAAGAGTGGGGCTGCAGATGGAGGCAGCTGGTCACAAGGCAGAGAGGGAAATGCCACGGGAAGCAGTGGGAGAAGATTGTAGTGAGAAGCAGCCCCTTGGAGCCAAAGTTGTGGAAATATGTGGTGTCCAGATTGTCTGGTTCTTCCACATGGGTCAGCCGTAGCCCTGAAGTGGCTGGCCCCAGACCCACCTTCAGCTTTCAAAATCAGTGAGAACTTACTTTGGCAATTTAAAAAAAAAGAAAAAATTTTCCCCCATTTTGGAAAGAAAAAGTTTAAGCTACTAGGGGAAAATGAAAGATGAGACAAAATTAACCTGGTTGCCGCCGTGGCCCTCACTGAAGAAGGAATGATGGAATTGTGGCGGGGGGGGGGGGCGGGTGCAAGGGCTAAAGATGGCAGCCCAGGCAGTGTCCCCGCCGCTGCCCCTCCTCACCACCACTCTCAGGATCTGTGGCTGTGAAGTCTCCTCTCTAGAGCACAGGTGCATTCCTAGCTCTTTGCTCAGTCTGGAGTTTATATGAGATTGACTAACAGAAAGCAGGCATTTCGGTCAGATACGTTTTAGCTGTAAATCGGTTCAGTCAGTATCCTCTGCATTCATACTTCTTTGTCTTTTTTTTTTTTTAAACAAAAGGAAAAAAAAGTTTAAACCCCCCTTTTCCTTCTACTGCAGGAGGTGAGTGTGTGGGTGTCCTGTAGAACCATTGGCATTCACCCGGCTTCGGCCCCAGCCTCCAGATTCGCCATCCCTACCCCACCCCCTCCCTCCATCCCCTGCTCTCCACCCCAGAAGGGGACCCCTTGCCACCATCATTACGGTTACGTTAAGATGCCCAAATTTTCCATGACATATCCCATCCTCCGACCACGTTCAGTAGTGACGACTTTCATACAGGGATATAAATGGGGGTGGGGGGAGGACGTAGCCAGTGGGGAGGGGGGAAGTGGTTTTGGGGGGGCTGGAGAATGGAGATCTTTTTTGTCTTTTTTTTTTAAACAAATTTGTCATTGAATGGATCCAAAAACAAACAAGAAAAAGCGAAACAAAAAAAAAATTTTTTTTAATCCCTTCCCCAAAAGATTTTTTTTTCCTGGACACAAATTGCTTTGTTTCCTGTCACGTTTTAATATCAATATTAACACAATGTGTAGTCTAAAACTAGTTCCTTTGTAGTTTGCATGGGATGTGAATGCTGTCTCAACGTGCCCAGATCTAGACAAGACTGCATGAGCACCAATTCAGATGTGAAAACCAATCTCTCTCTCTCTTTTCCTCTCTCTTTTCCATATATATCTCTATTTCTCTTGTGATAATTTGGTGGGCAGTGAAGCACCTCCGGTTGGTTGCTGTAGTGTGTTGAATGATTGTTTTTTTATTCTATTTTCGGAGCTCCGAGCTTCTTAGTAGTAGCCTGGGCTGAGTATTCTTGAGTCCCTGCTGATGTTTTCGCATGGCCTTGGTTGAGTGTTAGAAGTTGGGCCTCAGCTGTTTTTCTCGAGTGTTTGGCTTGTAATGACCGGTGCATGCCTGGCTTCTGGCCTCATACCCAGCTCTATTCTCTGCACACCAGTCCTGAATAGCTACAGTGCTCAACCGAATTTTGGCGCGCCCGCTTCCCCGGCAGGCTCCAACCCCGCGCGGCCTGGAGGCTTCCCGGGGGCCAACAGCCCAGGACCTGTCGCCGATCTGTACGGCCCTGCCAGCCAGGACTCCGGAGTGGGGAATTACATAAGTGCGGCCAGCCCACAGCCGGGCTCAGGCTTCAGCCACGGCATAGCTGTAAGTACCTACCCCCCGCCCCCCGCCTCATCCTTTCCCGCCCGTCTCCCATGGGAGAGTATGCCAGAAGACCCCAGGGTTGGGGGCTGAGGAGAGGACAGTGGGTCCCCACTCCCCCGTCCACATTCCGTCAGCCACCTAGGGCTGAAGCTCCTGTTTCGATTTTTCCTGAGCAACCGGTGTGTGGCCGTGTGATGGAGTGGAAGGAGCATGGGCAGGTCAAGTTCAGATCCCCACTCCATCACCTTCAGCCCATGCAGCCTTAAGCCTCTTACATAACCCATCGGAACTTCACTTCCCTGGCTGCAAAACGACAATAAGCGTGCCTCCCTCGAAAGATGGTCTGAGAATTAATGGAAACAGGATACGTCACCTGCTAGCACATAACAGGCCCTCGGTATCGGCCCCCCTGCTTGATCCCTGCCTCCTGGAGACAGCCATGTGGGCTGCGACTTGAGGAGCTGGGGGGCCCCCCACCCCCTCCTCAGGATAGCAGCCTTGGTCGGTCGAGGCCCTGGGCCTGAGGTCCAGAGGCAGCACTTGGCCCTGGGACACGGTGTGGGGTGCGTGGGGTGCACGCTCCCTCCCAGGTGGTTTCCTTTGCTAATGTTTCTTAGAGTTTCCAGGTTCCAAGTAAGTTCCCATTTGCGTTCTTTAGCCGCAACCCCGCAAAGGCCAGATGCATTTGATATTTGTAATGCTCTGTGGTTCTATAATCTAACTAATCCAGGCAGTGGAAATTTGCTTAACAGATTTGCATGCTGTTTTCAGATTGTATTGTTCTTCCCCCTCCTCGTGTGTGTGAGCATGAATGTGCCTGAGCCCACTCGCTCGCTGTCCCTTCCATTTGGGAAGCAGAAATTCGGCCACCCTCCGTTCTAGCCAACCTCAGCATTTTGGAGGAGGTTTGGTTTGGGGGCTAAGATGGGAGTGTCTGCTGTTCCAGGCCCTGTCCCTGTCAGGAGAACCCCGCCTCAGGGGCTGAGCTGGGGAGAACAGGGCAAGTGCGGACAAGTCTGGGGCACCAGGGCGCCGCTCCCTGCCCCCCCCACCCCAGCATTGGAAAGCACACGCACACACACAGGGGTGCACGCACGCATGCAGGGGTGCACACACACACTCTTAACCCACGCACGAGCACTCTTTCTCTCACAGACTGTCTTACACACACGTGCGCGCACACGCACGTGTGCGTTGCCGCCACCCCTGGCCCATGCAGTCTGGGTCCTTGTGCAATTCCACTCCCAGACCAGTAACACTTAAGTCAGGAGTCTGATGAGTCACATCCACTCGGCTGAGCTGTAGTACCAGATCCAGAGTAGTAGTATTCAGTTTAGAGCTGCATCGATTTGGGAGACCATCTATCACCACCTAGAGCACAGATCATTTCCATTTGCAGCGCCCGGAAACACAGACCCTATTCGTTCTTGAAAACCTGGGTCTCTTGACCTGTGGGTCGTGGCGCTTTTCTGAAATGACCACGCGTGGCATCACGTTTTGTCTGCGCTGGGCTTGCTTTCTCCCCAGCTGGAGCTGTCGGGACTGCGGGCAGAGACACGGGTATCTTTGCCCTCCGGGGTCCAGGGCAGCAGCGCCCAGCATTTTGGGCCGAGGCCTCCCTTTCCCCTCAGCCACACACCTCCCTGGTGCATCTGGCTCTCGATTACCCCCTGGGCAAGCAGACGGGCTTGGGGCGGGGTGTGGGGGCTGGAGGGCCCGGAGCCAGGGAGGACGGCGTCCGGGCCCCTCGTGGCGCAGTGTCTCAGAATTACATATTCATGCTGGCAACCACGGTCTAGTTCTAGAGATAATTTCCTTTCCCAGAATATGACAAGCTGTTCCCGTGTATAGCGTGCTGATGACCTTAACAATTGTGCAATTTTAGGGACCTTTGATTGCAACGGCCTTTACAAATGGATACCATTGAGCAGGTGCTTCCGTTGCCACCCCACTCTGAGGTACTACCTTCTCTGCCCTGTGTCCCCGCCCTGCCGGGCGCGTCGTACGTGTGTGTGCCCTGGCATGCAAGTACGCACGGGCCCTGGCCCCATTGTGCCAACACCTCTCTCTCCTCTTCCCCGACCCCTTGGCAGGAGGGTGGGGGCAAAAAATCCGGTCTTGTACTCTCTCATCCTTCTCTCCAGCTGTAATCATGACCCCCACCTTTTTTTTTTAATTCTTCTTGATTTGATTCTTTTGATTCCCTTTCTTTATCTTCTTCCCCACCCCCTCATCTCTCTCTGTCTTGAAATACGATCAAGAGTGTAGGAAACTGGAAGGTGATCTGGTGCTGTTGCCTGTCCCAGGGGGATGGAGGCAGGAGAAGCCTGGGCTTCAGCCAAGCCTGGGGGTGGGGGCCAGGGCCAACCCCTCCAGGGTCCCACGAGATGGCCTTTCAGGTCCCTGGACCCTTTCGGCCCCCCAGCGCTCGCTGGCTTTGGCCAATGGGGTTCATGCAGTCAACAGCCAGACTCCATCTTTTAGTGAAAAGAAAACATTTTTGCCAGTAACTACTGAGTAATTATCCAGATTACCGCACGAAAAGCAAATTAAATTAACGACATCACCTGCATAACGTGGATTTGGATCCCTGCCAGTTTCCTAACCTTTTAAACTGAGCTCAAGTTAATTAAACATTTTTTTAAATCACTTTGATGGGGGTATGGAAGGGGTGGAGTGGAGGAGAAGGGGGGGTTGGGGCAGTCAGTGAAGGAGCCTCTTGCCACGGTCTCGTTGGAAAATGAGTATCTGTTGCTCTCGGGAGGAACCCCGAGAAGGAAGAGGGGTTCTCTCGTGAAAGCGAAGTGCGTACTGTGTTAGCACATTAGTTTGGGGGCTTGAGACATGGGTCTGTCAAGAGGGAGGGTGACAGCTGAGGCCGGGCCTGGGTCCCTGCTGGGGCAGGAGCGCCTTTCCCTCTGGGAGTTCGGATGTAGGAGAAGCAAGACTGGAGATGGACTTGCCACTTTGGTTTGCAGTTAGTAGGACCCCCTGTCTCATAGAGGGGGTCACTCTAGGCCCCCAAGTCAGCCAGGACTCTCTCGGGTGGGCCCAGTTGGGGGACCAGATTGAGTTGAGCTCCATAAATCTCTTTTGGATTTCTCTAATGTTGCTGCTAAGGAATCACCTCAACTAATGCAACCGCCTCTCTTAACCAAATAAACCCCGTGTGTGAATTCTCCCCACCCCTCACCTCCACTTCCCTTCGAGCACTGACCCAGCCATTGCTGGCCAGAGCCAGAGGCCACTAACAGTTTGAAGAGAGCTACTCACTACTAATTAAGCTGGGTTTGGGGGCCCAGGGGAAGTAAGGTTCCTCTGAGAGCAAAGTGGACTGAACTCCCCAAGAACTCTGGGGATTGGAGGTGGCTCCAGCCCTTTGTGGAGTCAGATGATGAGGGGATGGGACAGCTACCAGGCACAGCAGACCCCTGCAAGGTCAGACACTGCGGCTGCCCGGCTGTCCTTGCACTCTCCCTCCCCTGGAAATGAGGATGGGGTAGGGCTTCCCACCACAGCCCGCCCTCCCCTCCATGGCCGCTATAGGAGCCAGGGGAGGGCAAGGCATCCAGCCCATCCTCCTCACCCAACTCTAGGACCCGGTTCCCACAGAAGGATAACGTAGCCAAGAGACTGGCGATAACACCCCACCACCCTCCTCCAAAATGGATGAAGTGAACCAATTGAGTCACATGTTTGAACCGAAACACACACTCTGTCCATGACCGAGGTTTCGTTCTCTGTAGTCCCCTCCACAGAGGAAGTTCCCAGGCTCACAATGGACTCAGGGAGACTCAGCAAGTCTGTGAGTCGCGGGCCTGTTTTTATTTTCTATAACCAAAGCTGGTTATTTGTTGCATATGTTTTTCCTGACCTCGAGTCCTCGATACGAAATATAATTTTTTTTAGATTTTTTTAAATCTGCATTTTCAGTTATTGGCAGTCATTGACGGTATCTGATAAAGTAGTTTTTTAAACATTTGGCTTTGAAAACCCGAAGTTTAACCAGAACAAAAAGCATCTCTCATCAGTTTGCAATTCACCCAGTGTAGCCAAACACCCAGCATGGCCGCATTTGCTGACCACATTTCCTGCCACTCCCCCGCCCCCCCCCCCCCAAGAATTCACCAGTGCCGTATCAAATCAGCAAAATAGCAAACGAGCACAGTGAGTCGCAGAGCTGTCCGCTCCCCAGTGTCAGGCGTGGTGAAGATGTCAGATTTCCCAAGCCGTGATCCCAGTAAGCTGTTAGCCTGGCCATTTCCAGACGTACTCAGTAGCCCAATGTAGTCGTTCTGTGGAAGCGCTAGTTGAGAAGTTGGAATAAATAGTATGTTTGCCTGACACATCTTCTCTCTTCTCCCACTTCCCACTTTATGTTCTCCTCTGGGCATCCGTGACCTTCCGCGCCCTGCAGAGCATACCTGGATGTCCAGGCAAGACTGGGCGAAGTTTCTGAGTGGCCCTTTGTTTAGGTGATGTCATCAGACCTGGACCCCCACCAGCCTCACTCCCCATCCCAACCAGAGATGGCTCACTTCGGATCGAGGGTTGACTACATCTCATCATCTCACGAATCTGCTGTAATATAAGACAACAGCTTTTAAATGTGTATATAACCCATGATTTTTGGTTTTGTTTTGTTTTGTTTTTCTTGATGGTTTCCCTTCCTCTTCTCTCTTCCCCCCCTTCTCCTTTTAAATCTCTTTGAATCACATTTGGTAGTGATTTTGACTTAGTCCGGTAGTCATATAGCTTTAATATCTAGTTAAAAGCTAACCATAGTATAATTGTTATATTAAGGTATTATTTTTCTCTTAAAAAGATTTTTTTTTTTTTGCTTGTTTTGATTCTGTTCTCACTTTTAAAGGATGCTGAGATGGTAATATTCCTCAATATTTTGGTACCAATTCTGAGACTGTATGGCTTTTCCAGTGGAGCACATTGTGCGTCTGTGGAAGCAAAGTTGTGAAGTGTGGAGCGGGAGGTGGGCATAAACTTTCTACTTTGCGTCGTATAAGTGAGATGTAGTAAGCTAATTAACAGACTCTGTAGCGGTTCTTTTTTGTGACGTCTCTTTGTTAACCTAAGTATATCTATTTTCGGCAATAAGGTAAGGACGACCATGTTTTGAGTGTCCTCCTTTTCTATAAGTGCTTTTTTTCTGTTGAAAGAGGTGATATTATAAGGTTTTTTGAAATTGTGAATTCTAAAAAAAAAAGAAGCGTTGTAAATACAATTCCATTAACTACATAGAAACTATTAAGAAAGAGAGAATCAAAAATATTTTTGTGAGGGAGTCGGTCCCAGGCAGTTCGATGCTCTGTGGAAGGAGGAGGAGGGGAAGGCATGATAACCGAGTCGGTTCCCAGGCGGAAGGACACCCCCCCCCCCCGCCCCCGCTGCCAGGACGACCCCCCGGGAAAAGTTAGAACACTGTTTAGCTCCTTCTGTCTGTGTGATAGACCTAAGAACTGTATTAGCGTCATACCAGCATATTAACCTCTCGTCTGTGCACAGCTTCAAATGTTACCGTCTAGTTAGATTTTTATTTAAAATATGAAAAACTGCTTTTCCCAAGACGTTTTTTAAAAACAAAGCTACAATTTTAATATTTAACATATTTAAAGTTTCAAAGCACACCTGTTTGGCTTGGGTGGGGAGGGGGTGGGGGGACATTCTTTTTCAGTCTTAATTTTTAAATATTTGATCATTTTCTATTGTCCAACCATTTCAGCACCTCCAAAGGTCCCTAGGACACTCTGCCTCTCTTTGCTCCCCTGCTCCCCCACCGGCTCCCCCCAGCTCCGGGGGTGGGGGGAGCTCAGGCCAGGGGCGGAGAAGCCTGTGTTAATGAAAACTTTTCTCCATTCACTTCCTATTTACAAATTAGGAGAGCAACCTTTTGGTTTATATATTTTTTTTAATACCTCAGTGCTGCAAGTATCCCCAGAGAGGCTATGGAAGAATTTTTTTTTTTAATTTATTGTAGATGTAAACAGAATTTTAAAAATAAAAAAAGTATAAACATCGCTGCACTGTGACTGGTGGGAAAAACTGACAGTTTCCTGTTTGCACATGTTTAACATTTGGCTGTTATAATATATGGTCCTCAGTTGGGGAAAGATACTTATGATGAAGGATATTTTTTAATTTAACTTTTTTTTAATATTGGTAATAGGTCGGCAACAGCAACTATAGAAGTACAACTCAGTAGATGGCATTAAAACATATTGTAGTGTGGATATATATTTTTTCTTTTTTAAAATGTGATATTGACGTTTTATTAATATTTTTTAAATTGTTACGTTTATAAATTTGGTACTCAAGGCACAGCCAGTATGAAACACTGAATGCGACATTTATTATAAAGAGCTGCTGCACTCCTATTTTTATAAATTTTGCTAACAAAGTAGACTAATGTAGACATTCACAGACATGGTAGGGCAAAAGCATCTTCAAACAAAAGGCTCCAAAATGCTAACTCAGAAAGAAAGAAAAAAAGCCTTTTTCAATTCTAATTAAACAGCAACAACATTAAAAAGAAGAAAAAAAAAATCTTGTTTTTCCGATCAATGTTAGGTTGTTTGGTGAGGGGTTTTTGTTTTGTTTTGTTTTGTTTTTTTCTTTCTTTCTTTTATTTCCAAACAACCAAGTTGAGTAAAATGCTGGGCGCTTTTAAAATATCAAAACTTGTTCAAGTGATAAAATAACAAAATAGAAGTTTTTTGAAAAAAAGAAAAAAGACCATAAATTCCCAGAAATTCAGTGTCTAGATTAGGGAATTTAAGTACTCTTTTGTCCATGTTGGTGATGTACTGTAGTACCCTTCCTTTCTCCGCATCCCCCATCACCTCACAGAAGACTCTTCGTTGATCACTGTCTGTTAATAATGTATAAAATGGCTATCTTGTAAGCGTGCTGTCCTCGTACTAGTGTAGTGACTTTTTTTCTTCTCTTTCTTCTAGTACATATTGATAGGTATAACGTAATTAAGGTTTAAAAAAAAAATTAGACATAGTTATTCAGATTTAGGACCAGTAAGGATAGAACTTTCTCTTATTTATGAAAAAAAAAATTGCTAATAATTTTGGGGCAGTTTTTTCCTTTGGTTTTTTTTTTCCAATTTCAACTTTTTATTTTATTTTTGCTGATCTGATGTGGTTTCAGCTAACCCAAGGTCTCATGATGTTCAAATGCCGGCAGACTCTATGGCGTTTTGTAGATTCCCAACCCCCCCCCAAACTGTGAAGGGGTGTGCCATACTACCTTAAATGCTAATGCTAGATATGCAAAACTGGATTTTTTTAATTTATTTTTTAAAAGAGGGAGGCATGGTATATTAAAATGATTTTACTAAGAGAAAAAATATTTTTTTAAGAATGCTCAGAAGAAATTGATAATCTGTGTGAATATGTTTTAGATGTTTATAATACCTTTTGAAGAGACCCAGTAGCCCATAGCACAAATCTCGTGGAAATCTGATCTGTTTTAATGTGGCTACCTAGGTTAAGGTTCACGTTAGTCCCCCCCACTCATCTAGAAGTCCATTTTGAAAGATTTTCATAAATTATTTTAGCACTGATGTTCAGCCTTGTCTTTGTTTCAGTTAAGCTCAGTGGTGAACCTGGGAACCACCTTTTCGCCTTTGGGGGAGAAACCCTCTTGGCTGATGGCTTCCCCCCCCCCACCCGCGGAATCACAAAATAGCCACCGGGTGACTTTCTGGCTTCCAGATCCATCTGCCTGGGACCCCCGAACTCCTCTCCTCCCAAGCAGAGGGAAGTGAGTGGCATTAGCTCCCAGACCCCATTCCTGGTTCCGCCTGGACATGGAGCTGACGGGGACAGCCAAGCCTTTGGTCCCCGCCCCAGGAGCTTTCTCAGCCCTGGTTTGTGGCCTTCCTCACACCCACTGGGAAAACCAAACAGCCTCGTGTTCTGTCCCGTTCGCTCATTGGCTTGACTCAAACGAAGCCCCGACATGCCTTTTTGCGTTTCTCTCCTTCATAACCTTCATCCTAATTTGAACTTGTAGCTTGGACTTTAAGGTAGCATGGCTCTATTGTGTCCATTTCCGGTTTCACTGCACAGCAGTTCACAGCCAGTGAATGTTACACACATCTTGCTAGACTAGTCTCAAAATCATCGGGTAATTGTTGGTCCTAACGACCTGAAAGGTGTTCCGTTTTTGTTTTCAGTTTTTTTGTTTTGTTTTGTTTTTGTTTTTGTTTGGGGGTTTTTTTTGAGGGGGGGTTCTTTTTTCATTTGGGGATTTTGAAAAAAAAAATTTTTTTTTTTTTCGGTTCCAAATAGAAAAACAAAACCTATTTTGATCTTTAGTGCAAACGAGGGCTAGAGACTTAGCCACCACCACACCACACTGCTTCATCCTGCCATTCGCTCACTGCAGCATAATCAAGAATAAAGCAATATAGTTTACTACATTTTTTATTGAAGGTCAGCCATGCTTTCTGTATTATATTGCATATGAAATTGTTTACAAAAGAAACACTAACTCATACTTCTCTTTATCGGTTGGGAGTGGCACGCAGGGACAGAGGGAGACTGTGGGAGCAGGGGGTGCGGGGGAGAATTTTCTCTCTTGAATGTGCTTCACCAGCTGGGCTACCTTCCAAGGAAGACAAAAGGGGGGGGTGGAGGCGTGCGAGCTGAGGGATGGAGGCGTGCGAGCACACTGAAGAGAGACACTGGTGGGCCCCTCTGCCCTCCCCCTAAGCAGAAAAGCAGCAGAATCAGCTCAGCCCGGTCCTGGGCACAGACACTACACAAGGAGACGCTGTACGTTAAGCAATACTTTAATACTGTAATATGTTGGTTTTCTTTCTTTCTTTCTTTTTTAACCAAAAAACGTAAGTAAACTAAAACAAAAATATATATATACATAAAACCCACACCTCTGGGGAAGCAACCTTAATCCAAACACTTGGCTATCAAATAATCAGAATGTATTGTCTCAGACAGGATTTCACTTCTGGGAGGCAGGGGCACGAAGGGGCAGGGAGGGGGGGAGGGTGTCTGAGGGACAGAAGTTCCAGAGCCTCCCTGGAAGGCTCTCTGCTACTGTATTCTGTACATACTGTACCATCCTGTGTGGAATCTGTGAGTGTCCTCTTGAGTAGCGTGGGCTAGCCAGTCTGCCGTTCATGGTGTGTTGTAAACTCGGAATTCCATATGTAATAGGATGCAAGTCTAAGCGTTTCATGTGGACATAAATGTATCTAAATAAAACTTTCCCTAGCACTGTGGCTGACCTCACCCTTACTTTTATACTTTAGTATGAAACTGATGACAACTTTGGTAGTGAGTATTTTTTTTATATATATACATATATATGTATCTATATATATATATATCTCAAGCATCTTTCAGGTCTTTGTGTGTGGCTTTCTTAAAGCCCTGTTGTAAAAAATTACTATGTGGATGGCAGTCTCTCACATCACAGATGTGGAAAGTATAATTTTATATTTGTATTTTCAAATAAATAAGTTTGTGAAAGGTTTCCATCCTCTACTGTGGTCCAGAAATCAATGTGTTTGTCTGACAAAAAAAAAATAAAATACAATAAACTGTTTTGAACAGAGTTGTTCGGTGTTTGTTCACTTGCAGAGGAGGGCTGGGCTGCGGGATAGCAGTTGCTTGGTTGGGGGGGCAGCGGTGTCACCAATCACACCTGCCTCCCCTCACCTCTTGGCACCTGCCTCCCAGCACCTCCAGTGGAGAAGCCCTTCTGCTGTCCCCAGGTAGCTGGTAGAACATTTTTATGAAGTGACAAGAGAGCATTGCCATGGAAGAATAGGCTGCAGAACACCTCAGAGCCCTTGGGTGGGCAGGGAGCAAACACCAAAGGTCCCATGAGATCATGGGACCCAGATGGTAGATGTGTGTCGAAGGAGCTAAGTGGCTCTCCAGGTTGCTGGCCTCTGTTATCAGCAGCCTGCAGGAGAAGACATAGAACCAATTCCATGACCCTTGAGTAGGAGTCTGAAAGGGTGTTAGGAAGCCCAGCCTTGGCCCTCAAGTTCAAAGTCTTGCTTAATGAAGAGAAATTTTGTGGGATCACAGAATTAAAGGTGTAGAAAGAAGTAGATCATCTGTGACACTTCCGCCTTCTATCTGTCAAATCGTTGAGAGAAAAGAAAAGCATTGAGACCCAGTTCACGGGGGGCAAGCTCCAAGACTTGGTGGTAACAATCAAGACATGGTCTGAACCAGAGGGATTCCATGGATTTTAAGCTTTGGAGAGGAAGAGCCAGGCCTATGGGTTTATAAGGGATGAAGCTTCCTCAGAGTGTGAGGTGGAGCCCTAGTCCCCAGGGCATGGCCACCTTGGGCCCCTCCTCCAGTGTCCCGTCTCGGGCTTATTCCAGCTTTATCTTAGGGACATTTCTGCTACACAAAGGTCCAAGAAGAGAAGCCCAGAAGGTGTCCCTTTCAATCCAAGGCTGGAGACAGGAGAATTTGTTTCTAGGCCCATCTCTTAGGTCCACAGGCAAAACATCAGCACTCTCTAATGTCTTGTTAATCTTGAGGACAGAAGAGTATATATAACCTCTGCCGTCCCACAGAAATGAAAGACCAATGAGAGCTCGGCTGAGAAATTCCTCTTAGGAATTCTGAGAGGAGCGGGCCAGAGACATGAAAAAGTTCATCTTCATCCTCATCCTGATTGCGCAGCTCCGTCCCAGAAGCCCAAGGAGAGAGCAGGGAATGGGGGCGTCAACGGTACGCTAGATGAGGCCCACACGTGACCTGGTTAGTCCTACACGTGTTGTGTGACTGCTACATTTTAATATTCGGGAGGGATAGGTAATTTGCCTGCCGTCCTACAAGTGCTCAATGACAGCACTGAGCTGTCATCTCCAGAACATTCTGCTGGGTTTGAGCTGGTGACATGCGTCAGCATCAGTGTTGAGTGTGCCTGGTTGGGGGTGGGGGAGAGCACTCGAAACTAAATGCCTAAATATACCCAAAAAGAAGCAGAAAAATATCAATCTAGAGAAAACCAAACTTTCAGGGAGAAACCCTAAAAATATTAAGTAGAAACAAATCAGCAAAAACTAGGAAAAGGAAAAGAAGAAACAACAGTGTTAAGATAAACATAAGCATAGTAAGTAGGACAGAAGGAATGCTAGCAAGGTAATCCATCACTAAATATGAATGGATTGCATTTTCTACCACTGCAAAACAGGTATGTTTAGAAAAAATGAAACCCAATTACCTGCTATTATAGAAATGGTTAAATGACAAAGATGGCTGAAAATAAAGCTGTGGCAAAGAGAAAATAAGCAAACACAAAAGGCAAGAATTGAAATGTCAGTTGGTCCGACAGGGTGGAATTTAACATTAAGGCACTCAACGGGATATTCTGCAATGACAAAAAACACAAGAGGATACAGAGGTGATAAACCCCAAGCCTCAATTACCAGGAGAACCAAACACTTAAATCAGAAACTATTAGAATTGCAAAGAGAACTAGATACAAATTAAAATACAATCATAAAGACTTTAACGCACCTCTCTTGGAACTAGACATGTATAATAGACAAAAATAAGGACACAGAGGACTTGTATAGTGCAATTAGTAAATGATCATCAGACTATAGAATCTTTAAATAGAGAATGTACATTTTTTGGTCATTTATCCATGGGATATATACAAAAACCCATTGTGTGGCAACATATTAATTACCTATTAACTGATAAATATTAACCATGTAATTATTAATGCTTAAATTTAGCTAAAATTAATATTAATTTAAACAAATAGCAACTTTGTGGTCCACATCCCATGATCATAATCCAATACAATTAGAGATAATTAAATTGGGTCTCTCAATTTCTGTGCAGTTATGATTGAGAGACCCAATTCTGTACATCCTTGGATCAAAGAGGAAAGTTAAAGAAAGTACAGACGGTCTAGAAAGCAACAAAAAGCACACATTGTATCTGAACCTGTAACATACAGCAAAAACTGTACTCAGAGAAAAGTTCATAGCTTTAAATGTCTTCAATGGAAAAAATTTATTTTTCAGTGAAGAAATTTATTATTCATCTTAAGGTAGTAAACAGCACCTAAAAAACTAGAAAGGAGAAATTGGTAGAAGCTAAAAGCTATAAAATAGAAAACAATAAGGGTGCCTCGGTGGCTCAGTTGGTTAAGCATCTGCCTTTGGCTCAGGTGATGATCTCAGGATACTGGGATGAGCCCCCAGTCATCAGGCTCAGTTGGGAGGCTGCTTCTCCATCTCCCTCTGCCCCTCCCGCCATCTCGTGCCCTCTCTCTTGCTCTACTCTCTCTCTCTGCCAAATAAATAAGATCTTTTTTAAAAAAAATTGTTTTAAATAGAAACAATAAAGTCATTGATGGGATAAATGGATCCAAAAGCTGGATTTTTACAAAGGCTAATAAGTCACCCTGAATAAAGAAGAAAGAGCAAAAATATGCAATCTAAGGAATAAGAGACATTAACTACAGATAACAATGAGAAAAGAATAGTAAGAGCAACAAATCTAAAAATTTAAAAGAAGCAGAAAATTTTCTAGCAAATACCAAAACTGATCAGAAGTAGAAGACCAGAATAAACTTACTACCACAAAAGATACTGAAAGGGTAATTAAAGATCTAATATTGAAAAATGGACTGGGTACAAAGGGGTTTACAAATGAGTTGCTTTTTTTTTTAAGATTTTATTTATTTATTTGACAGAGAGACACAGCGAGAGAGGGAACACAAGCAGGGGGAATGGGAGAGGGAGAAGCAAGCTTCCCGCTGAGCAGGGAGCCCCATGCGGGGCTCGATCCCAGGACCCCGGGATCATGACCTGAGCCGAAGGCAGACGCTTAACGACTGAGCCACCCAGGCGCCCCTGGAGTTTCTTTTCTTTTCTTTTTTTTTTAATTAAAATATTTTTATTTATTTTTGACAGAGAGAGAGAGACAGCGAGAGAGGGAACACAAGCAGGGGGAGTGGGAGAGGGAGAAGCAGGCTTCCCGCGGAGCAGGGAGCCCGATGCGGGGCTCGATCCCAGGACCCTGGGATCATGACCTGAGCCAAAGGCAGACGCTTAACGACTGAGCCACCCAGGCGCCCCTACAAATGAGTTTTATCTAACTGATAATTCCATTGCTATTAAACCGTTCCAGATGATAGAAAAATATGGAAGGCTCCCCTGTCTTATAATGCTAGCATAGCTTTGATGTCAAAACCCAATACAGAAACAAGACAAAAATACATCTACAGACTTTGCTCAGATGCAAAACTTCTACAATTCTACAACTGTAGCAAAGAGAATCCAGTAATATACCAAGAGTATAACATAATATGACCAACCAGGATTTATTCCAGAAATGCAAAATATTCCACTATCACGAAATCTATCAACATAATCTGTTAATATTAACAGACTAAAGGAGAAAAAGACCATGTGATCCTAACAGTAAATGCTCGCAAAGTATTTGAAAATACAGCAGCTATTCCTAATAAAACCACAGAAAGTTGAAACAGAAAGCAATTGCATACAATATAATAAAGACTATCTACCAAACCCAATGGCAATTATCCTAAATGGCAAAACACAAAACCTATTTCAATTAAAGTAAGAGAGGGCGCCTGGGTGGCTCAGTCGTTAAGCGTCTGCCTTCGGCTCAGGTCATGATCCCGGGGTCCCGGGATCGAGTCCCACATCGGGCTCCCTGCTCTTCGGGGACCCTGCTTCTCCCTCTCCCACTCCCCCTGCTTGTGTTCCTGCTCTCGCTGTCTCTCTCTGTCAAATAAATAAAATCTTTAAAAAAAAAAAAAAATTAAAGTAAGAGATGGTGAGGGGTGCTGCTATCACTTAATATTTAATATTGTCTTAGAGGTTAAAGAAAGCAATAAGATAATGAAATAATATAAACATTGAAAGGAAAAGACATAGGATTGTGATCCTAGAAATTTCAAGAGATTCCATTAAAACAAAACAAAACAAACAAATACAATGGGGGTGCACGGTGCATGGTGCAGTTGGTTAAGCGTCTGACGTTTGGGTTCAGCTCAGGTCCTGATCTCAGGGTCATGAGATCAAGCCCCAAGTTGGGCTCTGCACTCAGCATGGAGTCTGCTTGAGATTCTCTCCTTCTCCCTCTGCCCCTCTCGCTTGTGCTCTCTCTCTCTCTCTCTCTCAAAATAAATAAATCTTTAAGTAAATAAATAAACTTCAAAAAAAGAGTCAAATAGATCAGTGGGACAGAATAAATAATTTGAAATAAATCTTGGTATATATAAGAATTAATACTACATGATAAATGTAATGAGTAGCTTAATTCTGTTGTAAAAGGATGGATTGCTTAATATATGGTACAAACACAGCTGGCTTTTCAACTAGATTAAAATAAAAGTTGACTTTCAACCTATGTTCTTCATAAAAATAAATCCCAGATGGATTAAGGATTTAAATGTAAAACAATAAAATTCTTGCAAGAAAATCGATGCCATTCATGTACAATCTAGAAGCTTTTTAAGCTAAAATCAGAAACCCAAAAGCCATTAAAAAAAATATCTAACATTATGAAAATATTTTAGCACAAAAAATACTTAAATTT